AGAAGAAAACAGATTGTCTTCTCACCGCATCGGCCCAGCTGCCGAGAACGAGAAGAACATCGAGGCATGCAAAACATTCTTCAAACAGAATGCACTGGATCGAGTTGCTTTGGGTCATGACCCTAATGTTCCTACATCCGTATGGAAGGCAGCTGATGACATAGCACAGCCAGCCCCACCAGGCCCATTGCCTGATCCACTGCAACCTGGACCGCAATCGATAAGAGCGTCGCAACCATCGACTCCGGAGCCCAAAGCAGAACAACAACCAGCAGATCAGCTCCCAAAAGCTGAGGCGGTACCGATCCCTGACGACGGCACCGACCTTGAGGCAATGGAGCTGGAGGCAACTCCTGCCGAGGAGGAGCCTTCTCCACATGAGATGAATATATTGTCATGGCAGGGCAGCTGTGAGCGTTCCATGCACGAGGATACCAGCAAGATCGGGATCTTCGACAACTCATGCACTATTCGCGAGTGGAAGCTACAAGCAGGCGTCAAAGATGACCATCCATACATGTGCCCAATGTTGCGGGGCACGAAAGCGACCAATGGATTTGCCTGCGTGGGAGACCAGGAATGGTACGAGCAGCTACTGCATGATGATAGTGTGATAGCTCATGCGCCTGACATTGCACAATCTGGTTGTTTCCCAGAGTGGAAATGGATACCATTACCACATTACGACGATGTACGTTATGGTCCTGAGCTAATTGATGAAGAATGGCTGGGAACAAACAAATACATGAGCAAAGACATCACGACTATGTTACGCCATGAGATTCACTACAAAAAGTTCTGGATCAACCAATTTCATGACAGACGTATTAATATCTGGGACAAAGCAACAAAGAATGATTGGAAGATCCCAAGCAATTGGAAATCATTTAAAGAAATGGTCGAATGGAAATTCCGAGATCGCAAAGAAAGACACAATGGACCATCCATGGAAGCGGCAGTGGCACACTTCAAGAAAGACGGTGAAAATGAAGGATACACTGATTGGAACGACTACTATCCGATATTCATTATTCGTGCGTTCCAGAAGCATATTGACCCGCAGAAAAACAGAATCGAGATATATGCCAAGCCGATCCCTGAAGGAGGTGACCCCTGTACTTTTGACTGGAACAGCGTCATTGCTATTCGGTGCGTTGGTGGTCACAGTTGTGTCAACCCATCTTCCAAGCCATGGAATATGGGATGGGAGAGTCTACAGTGGACAGATGTCAAGTATCTCCATCATGGCACAGCATCCCGTGCCTGGAAGAACATATTGAAGACAGGGATCATTCCTGGATATGTTGAACCACATTCTCAGAGAGACAGAAATTATAAACCATCGCAGCGATCTCAGGCATTCTTCAGTTCTAGCACATATTTGAACAATGTTCAAAAGAACCCACATACTTCAGTGGAGTCGTACAAGTTCAACAGCTACAAGAACGAAGTCGAGCTGGTGATTAACATGGAAATCGCCACAAAAGCAGGTTGCAGATTTTGGTTGGGTGCTCAGGGCGCTATCATGACTGAGGACGTGGTACCGGCTGCGGCAATTATTGCAATTCGCCGCCTCAGACCACACCACATGCATGGCCAGCAGTTGTGGCCAGACGGCGACCCATGGGACCACCCGCCATTGGCAGCAAGAGAGCCATTGAGCAAGTACGAGATTTGTGCCTGCCTCCCTGGAGAACTTATTGACGACCCACCTGGATTGGCACCTATCGACCCCGACCACGACATGGAGCCTCCAAGGACGACGCCAGCATCAGCACCCTCGGCCAGGCCGGGGGAAACCCCTGCTGGCCGTACATCCGCAGAGGACGCCTTGGATGAGCAAATAGTACGCGCTATGATTCAGGAGACCAATCACAAAGCAGATGATAAAGAATGGCTAATTGCATTGTCACATTGTCGCGAAGCTCTTCGACCAATCACATCAAAGATCATGCAAAAAGATTGGGATCGTCGTCCTGCATTTAACGATGTTCGAATGGGCGACTTCATTGTCATTAAGAATTGGGGTTCTACCAAATGCTTCCACTACGACAACCACTGGCCCAAAGGCAATCACAATACCAAGATTGCCTTGTCCAAGGGACACATATATGGTCCAATCATCCATTTCGGCATCTTCGACAAGTTCTTTGCGGTACAA